CCCCAGATCCGAAGGCAAGATCTTTGTTGCTAAGAATGGATCCTTTCTAGAGAAGGAGTTTCTCTCGAAAGAAGTGAGTGGGAGGAAAGTAGAACTTGATGAGGTAATTGTACCTTATCTAGAATTGGAAAGTAGCTCATCACAGAAAACCATTCCCGTGATGCCTACACCAACTAGAGAGGAAGCTAATGATAATGATCATGAAACTTCAGATCAAGTTACTACCGAATCTCTTAGATCAACCAGAGCACATTCCGCACCAGAGTAGTACGGTAACCCTGTTCTGGAAGTCATGTTACTAGACCATCACAAACCTACGAACTATGAAGAAGCGATGACGAGCCCATATTCGGATAAATGGCTTGAGGCCATGCAATCTGAGATAGGATCCATGTATGAGAACAAAGTGTGGACTTTGGTTGACTTGCCCGATGATCGGCGATCCATAGAGAATAAATGGATCTTCAAGAAGAAGACCGACGCTGATGGTAATGTTACTGTCTAAAAAGCTCGATGATGACCCACAAATATAGGGGATCTATCATAGTCCTTTCGATAAGTAAGATTGTCGAACCCAACGAGGAGCAGAAGGAAATGATAAGCGGTTTCCAGCAAGGTATTCTCTGCAAGTACTGAAATAAGTGGTAACAGATAGTTTTGTGATAGGATAATTTGTAACGAGAAACAAGTAACAAAAGTAAATAAAGTACAACAAGGTGACCCAATCCTTTTTGTATCAAAGGACAAGCTTGGACAAACTCTTATATAGAGAAAAGCGCTCCCGAGGACACATGGGAATATCGTCAAGCTAGTTTTCATCACGCTTATATGATTCGCGTTCAGTACTTTGATAATCTGATATGTGGGTGGACTGGTGCTTGGGTATTGTCCTTACTTGGACAAGCATCCCACTTATGATTAACCTCTATTGCAAGCATCCACAACTACAACAAAAGTATTAAGGTAAACCTAACCATAGCATGAAACATATGGATCCAAATCATCCCCTTACGAAGCAACACATAAACTAGGGTTTAAGCTTCTGTCACTCTAGCAACCCATCATCTACTTATTACTTCCCAATGCCTTCCTCTAGGCCCAAATAATGGTGAAGTGTTATGTAGTCGACGTTCACATAACCCCACTAGAGGAGAGACAACATACATCTCATCAAAATATCGAATGAAGACCAAATTCACATGAGTACTAATAGCAAGACTTCTCCCGTGTCCTCAGGAACAAACGTAACTACTCACAAAGCATATTCATGTTCATAATCAGAGGGGTATTAATATGCATATAGGATCTGAACATATGATCTTCCACCAAATAAACCAACTAGCATCAACTACAAGAAGTAATTAACACTACCAGCAACCCACAGGTACCAATCCCGGACTTGGAGACAAGAATTGGATATAAGAAATGAACTAGGGTTTTGAGAGGAGATGGTGCTGGTGAAGATGTTGATGGAGATTGCCCTCTCCCGATGAGAGGAGCGTTGGTGATGACGATGGCGATGATTTCCCCCTCGCGGAGGGAAGTTTCCCCGGCAGAACAGCTCCGCCAGAGCCCTAAATTGGTTCCGCCAAGGTTCCGCCTCGTGGCGGCGGAGTTTCGTCCGAGAAGATGGCTTCCGATTTTTTTCTCATCGAAAGACCTCATATAGCAGAAGATGGTCATTGGAGGGCCACCAGGGGGCCACAAGGTAGGGGGCGCGCCCCCACCCTGCCCCCTGGGCGCGCCCCCACCCTCGTGGGCAGGGTGTGGCCCCCCTAGTGAACTTCTTGTGCTCGGTATTTTTTATATATTCTGGAAACGTCTTTCGTGAAGTTTCAGGATTTTTGGAGCTGTGCAGAATAAGTCTCTAATATTTGCTCCTTTTCCAGCCCAGAATCCCAGCTGCCGGCATTCTCTCTCTTTATGGAAACCTTGTAAAATAGGAGAGAATAAGCATAAGTATTGTGACATAATGTGTAATAACAGCCCATAATGTAATAAATATCGATATAAAAGCATGATGCAAAATGGACGTATCACTCGACTTGTCGCGAAAGGTTTTTGACAAGTTCAAGGAGTTGACCACGATGAGACTTTCTCACCCGTGCCGATGCTTAAGTCTGTCCGAATCATGTTAGCAATTGCCGCATTTTATGATTATGAAATCTGGCAAATGGACGTCAAAATGCATTCCTTAATGGATTTCTTAAAGATGAGTTGTATATGATACAACCAAAATGTTTTGTCGATCCTAAAGGTGCTAACAAAGTGTGCAAGCTCCAGCGATCCATCTATGGACTGGTGCAAGCATCTCAGAGTTGGAATATACGCTTTGATGAGGTGATCAAAGCATATGGTTTTATACAGACTTTTGGAGAAGCCTGTATTTACAAGAAAGTGAGTGGGAGCTCTGTAGCATTTTCTAATATTATATGTGGATGGCATATTGTTGATTGAAAATGATATAGAATTTCTAGATAGCATAAAAGCATACTTGAATAAAAGTTTTTCAATGAAAGACCTCGCTGAAGTTGCTTATATATTGGGCATCAAGATCCATAGAGATAGATCAAGACGCTTAATTGGACTTTCACAAAGCACATACCTTGATAAAGTTTTGAAGAAGTTCAAAATGGATCAGTCAAAGAAAGGGTTCTTGCTTGTGTTACAAGGTGTGAAGTTGAGTCAGACTTAATGCCCGACCACTGCAGAAGATAGAGAGAAAATGAAAGTCATTCCCAATGCCTCAACCATAGGTTCTATCATGTATGCTATGGTATGTACCAAACCTGATGTGTGCCTTGCTATAAGTTTAGCAGGGAGGTACCAAAGTAATCCAGGAGTGGATCACTGGACAACGGTCAAGAATATCCTGAAGTACCTGAAAAGGACTAAGTATATGTTTCTTGTTTACGAGGTGACAAAGAGCTCGTCATAAATGGTTACGTCGATGCTAGCTTTGACACTGATCCGGATGACTCTAAGTCACAAACCGGATACATATTTATATCGAATGGTGGAGCTGTAAGTTGGTGCAGTTCCAAGCAAATCGTCGTGGCGGGATCTACGTGTGAAGTGGAGTACATAGCTGCTTCGGAAACAGCAAATGAAGGAGTTCATATCCGATCTAGGTGTAATACCTAGTGCATCAGGTCCAATAAAAATCTTTTGTGACAATGCTAGAGCTATTGCCTTAGCGAAGGAATCCAGATTTCGCAAAAGAACCAAACACATCAAGAGACGCTTCAACTCCATCCATGATCAAGTCAAGGAGGGATACATAGAGATTTACAAAATACATACGGATCTGAATGTGGCAGACCCGTTGACTAAGCCTCTTCCAGGAGCGAAACATGATCAACACCAAGACTCCATAGATGTTAGAATCATTACAATGTAATCTAGATTATTGACTCTAGTGCAAGTGGGAGACTGAAGGAAATATGCCCTAGAGGCAATAATAAAGTTGTTATTTTATATTTCCTTATTCATGATCAAGAGTTCGAGGGACGTCATCGAGCTGAACGTGTGCAAAACTCGGAGGTGTCGTACGTTCGATACTTGATCGGTCGGAACGAGAAGAAGTTCGACTACACCAACCGCGTTGTCAAACGCTTCCGCTTTCGGTCTACGATGGTACGTAGACACACTCTCTCCCTCTCGTTGCTATGCATCTCCTAGATAGATCTTGCGTGAGCGTAGGATTTTTTTTGAAATTGCATGCTACGTTTCCCAACACCTTCCCCATGTTTATCTATGGTTTGCAGGAGAAAACGCGTCCAGACCACGTCGCGGAACGATACATGTCCGTGTTGGATGGCTTCTGTAGTCGGACAGCATGGTCCGAACGGATGCGGGAAGTTTGAAGTGGAGATGCCGTAATGCCATTTCGCAAGTCCTTCGAGCTGCCACATACCTCCAAATGGAAATGACGTTTAGGCCATGACAAATGAATAACCTAAGATTTTTCTCCATACAACCGAATGAGATGTCTAACAACTCAGGGCCTTTTTGATTCGCAAGATTTTCAAAATGCAGGAACATGAAAAATATAGGAATACAGTGTCATGTTCTCTTATATCATATGAGATTTCGAGAAGTGTTTGATAGCACAGAAAAAACAAAGGAATTCTATAAAGAAGTTTGAGGGCTCCTGTGATACAAACAAATTTCATAGGATTTTTACAAGATTTGGATCCTTAGAATATTTTTTCTGTGATCATCGTTTGATTTGTAGGATTGAAATCCTTAAAAAAAAATCATAGGATTCACTTGTACTATATTTTGAAGGAAACTTTTCATCTACCGAATGAGATGTTCAACAACTCAACATGTGTAGAAACCCTACTCGCACACGGATCATGGTGTAGTGCCAGTTGGATCTCCGAGCAGTCGGCGGCTGGTTTTTTTAATGCGCCGGCAACATCGATGGGGCCACATGGAGACATGATGGACGACGCGTGGGGAAAGCCTCCAAATCCCAGTCCGGTGCCGGTAGATCGGAGCAGGTGGCTGGCTTCTTTGCGAGTTTGTGCCGTGCGTGTTGACTGGCTCTTTGCCAATGCCCCCGAACCCAAGGCAGCACATCCCCCTGCCTCTTTGCCAAGCCACCGAAAGATGCACAACTTTGCTTCCCGATCGCTTTCTACGCGATGAAACTCGCCCCGGAAGCAGCGGAATTCGGTTGCTTTCGTGGTCTGGCTGTAGTCGACCACAACCGTTGATTTCGCAGGCCCGGACGAACGCGTAACGGGCATACGGCACAGTACGACTTCGTTCCCCTCTGCTTCTGTGGTCGGACGCGTGCGTTCCATCGTCCTCATTTCTCTCCTCCCCCCACCCCACCCCACCCCCACCTGGACGCCGAATCACCAAAAAGTAGTGCTGGGAGTTCTCTCGAGAGCCAGCAAGGAGGCAGCGCGGAGGCCAGGCCACCGTCGCGTGGCGTCCCACCACCACCCCATCGGATCCCGCGGCGCGCAGATCCGCGAGCCCCGGCAATGGCTTCCACGCCGGCGGACGGAGCAGGCGAGCCGGTGGAGGCCAAGGGCAAGGGGAAGGAGGAGGGGGAGAAGAAGAAGGCGGGAGGAGGGGTGCTGGGGAGGATGTGGCGCGGCCTCTTCGGCGGCCGCGAGGACTACGAGAAGCGCCTGCAGTACCTGTCCAAGGAGGAGGCCGCCGTGCACGCGCGGACGCGCCGCCGGACCCAGTTCTCCCGCCGCACCGTCCGCAACATCATCGTCCTCTCCGTCATCGCCGAGGTCGCCGAATCCCCTACCATCCCGCTCTTTCTTCCTTCTCGAATTTACTACGCGTATGTATGCTATCTGAGATGATCATGGTCTGGTCCAGCGGCTGCGGATGCGCCTAGGTTTGGATTCGCGGCGATTCCATTTGTTCACGCTCGGAGATTTGGCTGTCTCAATGTTTTCTCAGTCGAACGTTGGGAGTTTTTTCTTTCCGTGCTTCTGCGCGTGAGCGTACGCGGTCGTGTGCGAGATTCGGAACATGCGATTGTGGTGTTAAATTTTCCCCGGAGGTTAAAAGCGAACCAGCTTTATTGGAACGAAGTAGACAGAGTGCTTTCATACTTCGGGATCATCCATGGTGATTAGACATGGCCAGTTGGCCACATGGGCGGATACACTGCGTTTCTGGTTCTTAGATTCTAGAGTAGATATTCTCACTGGGAATAGATGCACAGATTTTGGCTATGATTGTTCTGTCAGATATTCATGTTCACAAGTCAATGCTATTTGTGGATTCCTTTCCTTTTGTAGTTATTACTGTGAATTTGAGAAGTTTATGCAAGCCTTTTGTACACTTGCCCAAACTGTTCAGTTGTGTTCTACTATTTTCAAAGTAGAAATTAATGGATGTTTAATTATATGCTTAGATTGTCAATGCATAAGAAACCAATGCTGCGCAATCTGTGTATTTGCAGGAACATTATTTATAATCTAGTTGCAGTTCGGTGTATTTGAGGTTTCATTAGAAGAACAGTAAGTAGGATTGCTGAGACGGTTTATCTTTTGAGTATCTGCCGAAAAGGAAACACTGGTTTCCTCTTAAGCTGTGGTGAGAGTCTGTTTTGGGGATTCACAGTTTGCCTCTGCGCTCCTCTAGTTATGTGAATTATTGAGTTCTGCACTTCTATGGGTTACAGTTATCTTAGACCAGTAATGGCTATTTTTGTATTAAATATCGAGCAAGCAATTTGTGCTTTCTTAATAGTTAGGTCCTATTCTCAGGCTGTGGCTGTTGGTTATGCTATCATGATGACAAGAGACGAAGATCTCACTTGGCAAATGAGGGCAATTCGAGTGCTGCCTATGTTTGTTTTGCCTGCCATATGGTCTGTGGTATATTCAGCAGTCGTAAACTTCACAAGGATGCGTAAGTATCTTGAAACCCCTGTCAGAATTCATAATTAGTGATCCTCATATTTGAACTATTTCTTCAATATTTTAATCATTCTTAGTGAGTCCTGCATTGCTGCTGTCATCCTGTCATGTTTGTATGATTATGTGTCGAATGTGACTTCTGCAAACTATATATTTGGCTTTAATATTGTGAAGTATATAACAGTATGTTGTAGTCTGGCACACTGTTGTACTTGTCCACGGATGTTGGTGTGAACTGTGTTTTTAAGTTTCTGGCTTGAATTAAAATAATCAAACTAATTTCCATTCTTCTCATTAATGATAAGTATGCAATACGAAGCAGTTTACAATATATGTATGCACTGGCACACATAGCATTCTTACTTCTTTGCACATATTTTAGTTGTGGTGCTTCTAGTTTGACTCACTCAAATCTTTTACTTTCACTTGTGTGCAATCTTATCAGAGGTGATAAATTTCCTTTAGTATTACCGATCTTCCTAAAATGGTTGTGCTTCTAGCAAAAGGATTGTTGTGGGGTTTGACTTCAGAGGTTGTAATATGTAGCCTGTCTTACAAAGTTTATGTTTATGCTTTATAATGCAAACTTTGCATTTTAGCTGGAATGCTGGTTTGTTTATTCTTTTCTTTTGTCGTTCTGAAATTTGATGGCAGTCAAAGTGTGTGTCAAATTGCTTGGGACTTAGATAAGTGTAAATAATATCTCCATGAAAGTGGTTGTTGTCCCCCTGGATCCTATTTATCCGAATAGAAACATGGTGTGATTAATTTTATCCGAAAGCAATCTTAGGAAGTGAAGATGGATGCAGGGATTATCGTTTGTCTTAATTGCCAATTCTATTGAAGTATTGCACGTTAATCATCTTTCATATTTTTGTACAGTGACAAGATATACTCCCTCCATTCACAAATATAAGATGTTCTAACTTTTTTGTGAATCGGATGTATGTAGACACGTTTTAGTGTGTTTGTTCACTCATTTCAGTCCGTATTTAGTCCATATTGAAATATCCAAAACATCTTATATTTGTGAACTAAGGGAGTATTTGGCAAATTATTAACACTCTATTTGGCATAACTGCTGTATCAGAACAAATATTGATAGTTGCATGATTGCTTGACATGTTAAGTGTTGGAGATTTGAATCTTCTCATGTCTAAATTTGCATGCTTGTTCTGATACACAAATGACAAATGGGCAACGCTCTTTTTGCTAGGAAGGATCTTGGCACTAATGTTGTCTTGTGATATGTATTAATATGTTAATCTTGTCCAGTACTAACCTATATGATTTATCATCTTATCAGTAAACCTTGTTAGTATCATTGAATTACTTCCCTCTGTTCACAGTTGAACGGAAAGATGAGAAAACACTTGAAAAGTTGAGAGCTGAAAGGAAAGCCAAGATTGATGAACTGAAAGAACGGACGAATTATTACCTTACCCAACAACTTATCCAGGTAAGCGGTCATTGGTCAAGCCATTGAGTTCATTACTTCGGATAGAATTTTATCATGGCATTGACACAACAGTACTAAATGATGACAAAGTGTATCCCAACTTGAACATGTGCAGAAATATGATCTTGATCCAGCTGCAAAAGCTGCTGCAGCTTCGGTTTTGGCATCTAAGCTGGGAGCGGATTCTGGCTTAAGAGTACATCTTGGGGAAGAACCAAATTCTGATGCAGCAGTGGTTATGAGCAACAATGCTGAGATATTGCCATCAGATGGGCTGAGAAACAGGAAGCAACCCAATGCAAGAGGCAGCAGGACTGGTAGCACTACAGCTGCTCATACTTCGGCACAAGGTGCTGAATCTAGCCCAGCTCTTAATGCTGGCCTGGAAAACGTACAGCTTACAAGGGCTGTAGAACATTATCAAGGCTCTGGGGCAAGTGATGGTGGATGGATTGCAAAAATCGCTGCCTTACTTGTTGGGGAGGACCCGTCACAGTCGTACGCTTTGATCTGCGGCAATTGCCATATGCATAATGGTATGTATGAGAAACAAAACTCTGACCTTTTTAGCTACTCCCTCTGTCTCAATATGTAAGACGTTCTTTGACACTAGATAGTGTAAAAGAAGTCTTACATTTTGAGGCAGAGGGAGTATTTCCTTGGAAAGAATGGACACATGACCTACCCAACTTACTAATGTGCAGGCTTGGCCCGGAAGGAAGATTACCCACACATTACATACTATTGCCCACATTGTCATGCTCTAAACACATCAAAGAACTCGATGGGGCAATACTCAGGCTCCAACTCAGGCCCATCGACCCCAGTTGCTCCTGCTGATGTGATATCTGCTGCCAGCTCAGTAGTAGAGAGTGAATTGATTAACTTGGCTACAGTGCAGGAGTTGCCAAAGGAAGAACACGCGGAGAAGGAAGTGGAGGCAAGTTGAAGCGGGTCCGTACTATTACTGTTGATCTTTGTGAGATTAGTTCATATCGCCGTGTTTGAACTGGTTTGAGCCGCATATGTAGCACTGTTGTAAAATTGGAAATAGATGACCTATATGATCCACAGCAAAACCAGTACAATAATTGTTTAGCCAGTTTGTCCATGGACACTTGAGGGGACGAATTTTGTTGGCAATGGGGACTGCCGGAGAGGAGAATGGCAACGTGCTGCCTGGCAAGTCGAGGTTGGAAAGCTATGAGGTGGAGGCGAACAGATGAGATCAGTCGGGTGACGTTGCAACATGGCGGTGGTGTAAAAACATAGATATGATCGACGCTTCTATTTTACCCATATTTGTGTGGCAGTTGCTCCATTGGAGATGCGGAATTTTTGACATTGTTTGGACATTTACGGTCACAGCTTCATTTTGTAATCTTGATAGCGTTATGTTTCGCTGACTGATGTCTCGTATCCTTGGCGCGATGATACTTCAACTTGTAGTTTCGTTTTGCCTGGGCTTAAGCTGGGTTAGTGGGTTGTATGCGGTATGCCCCCGCAACAATAGAACATCATCGTCTTAGCATCCCATAACTTTTGGCAGATCTTTTTTGTAACTTTCAAACATGGTTTCCGGCTTTCCGCGAAGTTTTCTTTGAATTTGGTTTGCATATGATATTCACATTGGTGCACATACTGATTTTAATTTTTTGAGAAAAAACACACAGTTAGCTGAGTCAAGTTGTTGGTGTCGCTGCGTGATTCTCCACGGACAGACGGGTGAGATATTGGGTCACCGTTTGCTGAGCCCAAGATGGAGACGCTGTTCCAGTCCTGGGAGATTGTTTAAGACGGGTTCGATATTAGGTGTGGGGCTTACCGAGCAGAGTGACTTTTTTTTTTGTTTTGAGAAACTACTTGGGAGTAGCCCAGAGAAAGCTACGTTTTTCCACATTTGCTCTCTACAAAGCAGGGCCAAAATCCTTTCCTCTAAGATCTCCGACGACTCTGAATCTAGTATATGGCGACAACAACAAAATTGTGCTAGAGGCCTACAATTTCCAAGGTCTCCGCCCCGCGCTCCCACCACCGCCGCCTGCCGGCCACTCCGGCCCCGGGGTCCACCAGCCCCGTGGCGGCTCCGACGCCTCCGCCTGGCATGGCCTCCCGTTCCCCGTTCCCTCGGCCCTGGGCCGCACTCGCGAGCTCCGCTGGATGGAGTCCAACCCCTCCTCGGTGGAATCCGGTGGCCGCTCCTACCGCACCATGCTCTGCTCCTCCCCGACGCTCGCCTCCCCCTCGTCGCCTCCACCACCCTCGCCACCCGCTGCGTGCCCTGGGCTCCGCTCTGAGGTGCACCGGGTCGAGAACGACGCTGGTCTGGATGCAGATGGCAACTGGGAGATGGCTTCGGGCAGGAGGCGTCCGCGCCCTCGCCATGCCCCTCGCCGGCGCGTTGTTCGATCCCCACCGCTCGCTGACCACCGCACCCCCTCGCCGCGGGCGGATGAGTGCCCACGCTGCCTTGGCACCAGGCACCCCCGCTCTAAGTGCAAGAGGGACGTGCGCTGCCGGCGCTGCCGCTTCTTCGGGCACATCGCCCGTTTCTGCACCAACCCCTGGTACTCCCCCCCATCCGGCGCCCCCGCTGCCAAGCGACCGCGCGTGTCTCCTTCGCGCTCGTCCGGCTCCTTCGCCCCTAGCATGGCAGGGCCCCTCGGGCCACGTCCTCCGGCCCCTCCCATGCTCCGTCGTCACCCGCACCTAGCCCCGCCTCCCCGCATGCTCCCTTCGGCGTAGCAGACCCTGCCCCCGCGGCCATTGCCATGACGGGTCACCCCACGCTTCGCCCGGCTGGCGCCGTCTGCTACATGCCGCGCACCGCACGTCTCGAGGAGGCTGAGCGCGCCCTCGACCTGGCTCTCGTCGCCATGGTCGCTGGGAACCGGCATGGCGTCTTCGCGGCCGACATTGTCGACGCGCTTAGTGCGCGCTTCCGTCTCGGCCCGGACGCGTTCTCCGTCCATCGTAGCCGTGACGGCGAGTTCCTCCTGTGGTTCGCGGACGCCGCCACCCGTGCGCGCGTGGCCGCGGCCCCCTTCCGCGCCCCCGATTCCGCCTCATCCTCCATCCTTGGAGCAGGCTCGTCGGCGTTGAGCCCATCTCGCTGCGCATCTCCGTCGACATCGAGATCATCGAAATCCCGGAGCATGGCTGGGACATCTCCTCCGCCATCCAGTTGCTGCCGCTGTTTTGCCTCATGGACCGGCTCGCCCCGGAGCCACTCAACGACAGCGACATGTTCAATTTCCGGCTCTCTGCCTGGACCGCCGACCCCGACTCGATCCCGCGGCCTTCTGAGCTTCTACTGTCCGAGCCCTACGCCTATGCTGATGCCGACCCTAGCACCGTCGACCGCTTCGTCGTCGAGCTGCTGCGCTTTATCGCCTCCATCCATGTCCGGCGCTCTGCAGACTACCGCCTTCCCGGCCGTCTACCATCTCCCACCCCCACCCCCCGCCTCTGGTGACAGCGGTGACGCAGGCCGCGGCTCCCCGCCCTGCCCGGACTCGTGGCTGCTCCAGCATGATTTCCCGTCCCCAGGTGGTTCTTGACCGGGGCCAAGCTGTGGTCATGGTCGCAGTTCTTATGGCCATCATCGCCGGCAGCGTGCAACGCCACCGTCCCGCGAGTGGCATGGCGTCCTCGGGCCACACCCCCCTGTTGGCGGCTTTTCCCGCGGGCCCTGGGTCCACGCGCGGCTCTCCCCTGACACGGCCGCGGCTTCCGCTATGCTCCAAGAAACAGCCAGCAACTCGGTCCTGGCTGTTCAAATCGGGACGCGGGCCGGTCCACCCTCCGACCGTGGCGGCCAGCTACTGGTTGAGGCCGCCTCGGATCCCCTCGGCGACACCCTATTCCCATCGTTGTTGCTGATGCCTCCTCCTGACGCAACCGTTGCGGCTGATCTGCACCTGCACCCCTCCAGCCCACCACCACTTGGCAGCGCGCCCGACATGCCCGCTGCAGACCCCGAAGCTTCCCTTTTTTGGTGATCCCGAGCCCTCTGCTCTGGTCGTGGTGGGCCCCCCTGCGGATCCCCAGGTGGTCTCCCCCACGCCCTTGGAGCTGGCCGACCAGCCAATGGCTGGCCATGCACCCCCACCCTGCTAGCCACTACGGACAACCCGGTGGGGCAGTCTGTGGGACCCTCCTCCCCATCAGCTGGCCCGCCCCAGATTCCCGGGCCTTAGCCGGGTGTGTTGGAGGTGATATGTCTCCGTCGTATCTATAATTTTTGATTATTCCATGCCAATATTCTACAACTTTCATATACTTTTGGCAACTTTTTATACTATTTTTGGGGACTAACATATTGATCCAGTGCCTAGTGCCAGTTCCTGTTTGATGCATGTTTTTGTTCCGCGGAAAATCCATATCAAACGGAGTCCAAACGGGATAAAAATGGACAGAGATTATTTTTGGAATATATGGAAAATATGGGAAGAAAAATCCACGCGAGATGGTTCCCGAGGGGGGCACGAGGCAGGGGCGCGCCCCTGACCCTCGTGGCCCCCCCCGTAAGGCGGCTAATGCTATTCTTTTGCCGCAAGAAAGCTAATTTTCAGGAAAAAAATCTCGGCAAAGATTTCAGTCCAATCGGAGTTACGGATCTCCATATATATACGAAACGGTGAAAGGGCAGCCAGAGAGAACGCAGAAACAGAGAGAGACAGAGAGACATATCCAATCTCGGAGGGGCTCTCGCCCCTTCCATGCCATGGAGGCCATGGAACAGAGGGGAAACCCTTCTCCCATCTAGGGAGGAGGTCAAGGAAGAAGAAGAAGGAGGGGGGCTCTCTCCCCCTCGCTTCCGGTGGCACCGGAGTGCCACCGGGGGCCATCATCATCACCACAATCTTCACCAACAACTTCACCGTCATCATCACCAACTCTTCCCCCCTCTATGCAGAGGTGTAACCCCTCTTTTACCCGCTGTAATATCTACTTAAACATGGTGCTCAATGCTATATATTATTTCCCAATAATGTATGGCTATCCTATGATGTTTGAGTAGATCCGTTTTGTCCAATGGGTTAATTGATGATCGTGATTGATTTGAGTTGCATGTTTTATTATTGGTGCTATCATATGGTGCTCTCCGTGTCGCGCAAGCATGAGGGATTCCCGCTGTAGGGTTTGCAATATGTTCATGATTTGCTTATGGTGGGTGGCATGAGTGACAGAAGCACATACCCGAGTAAGTAGGTTGTCTGCGTATGGGATAAAGAGGACTTGATACTTTAATGCTATGGTTGGGTTTTACCTTAATGATCTTTAGTAGTTGCAGATGCTTGCTAGAGTTCCAATCATAAGTGCATATGATCCAAGTAGAGAAAGTATGTTAGCTTATGCCTCTCCCTCAAATAAAATTGCAATAATGATTATCGGTCTAGTTATCGATTGCCTAGGGACAAATAACTTTCTCGTAACAAAAAGCTCTTTACTAAAACTAACTTAGTTGTGTCTTTATCTAAACAGCCCCTACTTTTTATTTACGCGCTCTTTATTATCTTGCAAACCTATCCAAAAAGACCTACAAAGTACTTCTAGTTTCATACTTGTTCTAGGTAAAGCGAATGTTAAGCGTGCGTAGAGTTGTATCGGTGGTCGAGAGAACTTGAGGGAATATTTGTTCTACCTTTAGCCCCTCGTTGGGTTCGACACTCTTACTTATCGAAAGAGGCTACAATTGATCCCCTATACTTGTGGGTTATCAAGACCTTTTTCTGGCGCCGTTGCCGGGGAGTCATAGCGTGGGGTGAATATTCTCGTGTGTGCTTGTTTGCTTTATCACTAAGTAATTTTTATTTGTTGTTCTTAGTTGTTTTCTATCTTTAGTTATGGGTAGGAAACGCAAAATACCAAAAAAAATAGTCGTACCTACTGAACCAACAGTTGAAGAACCACTCAAAATCTATCACACTCCTGGAGCTTATTACT